GTGCCTTGCACTGTGCCGCCGAGGCCATGCGCGCCCAGCTCCGCCTCGACAACTGCTACCAGCTCCTCTGCCTGGCCAAGAAGCAGCGACTGGCGGAGCTGCGGGAGGCCGCCTACCGCTTCATGAGCGACCACTACCTGGAGGTGCTGCGGGAGCCCAGCGTCTACGGCCGCCTCAGTGGCACCGAGCGGGACCTCATCCTGCAGCGGCGCATGGAGGCAGGCCGGCCCTGCTTGCTGGTGGCTGAGGTCAGCGATGCCTTTGAGCGGCCGGGTGGCGGCAGCCGGCCACAGAGCCGGGAGAGCAGCCGGCCGCAGAGCCCCTCCTCCGTGGTGTCGCTGGAGGAGAGCGGCTCCCTCGTCCACTGCTACCAGGAGGGCAGCGGTGAGTGGAGGGTGCTGACGCGCCTGCCCGAGGAGGCCAATGCCAAGGGCTGTGCCATGTGCGTCCTCCACAACTACCTCTTCCTAGCAGGGGGTATCGTGGCGGGGCCGGCGGGCAGCGAGCCCCGAGCCCGCCTTTCTGACAAGGTCTTCTGCTACAATCCCCTCACTGACACCTGGAGCCAGGTGCGGCCGCTGGCTCAGCCCCGCTCACAGCTCAAGCTGCTGGCCCTGGACGGTTACCTCTACGCTGTGGGGGGTGAGTGCCTCTTCACTGTGGAGAGGTATGACCCGCGGGCCGACCGCTGGAGCCCCGTGGCACCCCTGCCCAAGGGTGCCTTCGCTGTGGCTCATGAGGCCACCACCTGCAACGGGGAGATCTATGTGTCGGGAGGCTCCCTCTTCTACCGCCTGCTCAAGTACGACCCCAAGCGTGACGAGTGGCAGGAGTGCCCTTACAACAGCAGCCGCCGGCGCTCTGCTGACATGGTGGCCTTCAAGAGCTTCATCTACCGCTTCGACGTGAGCAGCGGCCGCGGTGGGGAGCAGGGCCCAGGTGGCGGGACTGGTGGTGGAGTTGAAGTTTTCCGGTACAACACAGTGGCCAAGCGCTGGAGCCAGTGCGCCAGCCTGCGGCCCAGTGGTGGCCCCATCCAGCCCTTCCGTTGCGCTCCCTTGGGCAACACCATCTACTGTGTCAACCGGACCGGCACCCTCCGCTTCAGCCTAGCCCAGGACGGGGAGGTGGAAGCAGATGGCGGGCTCAAGGGCACCTTTGATGGAGAGCTTCTTAAAGCTCCCTTGGATGCCAAGGGTGTCCTCCTACCCTTTGTGCTCACCCTCCCCGAGAGGCTGGACAAAGCAGGGGACCAGGAGGGCTCCCTCCCTCTGTGAAGTGGCCAGCCTGTCTCTGGCTTCCTGAGTGGGGAGCTGGGTTGCAGATGTGGGGGACCCACAAACTCCCCCCTACAGAGAGGACCCCCTCTAGCATGTCTGCAGAGAGAAGGGGTTTCCCCTTTCCTCCTCTGCTCCCAGGATGTTGAGCTGGTGTCACTTGATTGTAACTTGGTTGTCACTCCTCTTGTGTTTGCTGTGCTTTGTGTGAAAAGCCAAGCACATGAAAGGAAAAGCTGCTATAAAGGATAATCTCTGGATTATGTTTGTGCCAATTCCCAATCTGAGAAAAACTTTTTTACACCTGCATTTATAAAAAAATTCCTGACAACAGTGTCATAATGGATGTTACTGTTAGTGTTGGTTGTGTGTTTACACGTAGTTGCAATCTGGGCTAGAGCCTTTTCTGCCATTTGTTTTCTTTCTCTCCGGGATGATACGCAGAGATAAACACTGCTGGCAACATAGCTGCATTTGTTTTTAAGTTAAACCAACTACTTCCTGTGTTAGAAAATTATAGAAGGAACATGTCCATCACAGCCTTTCATTTCTGGTGCAATAGATGGTTTAAGGAAGACGTGGCACTGTGTGGTCCCAGGAATTTCAACCACAAATGATTTAACAGATACCAGACAAAGTTTAAGTAACACAAATGTGTGCCACATGTTTGTATTTGGAATACAAAAAAAAAAAAAAGGCAAGTTACCTTTTTAAAATGTGGCATATTATAGCAGATATGAAATGTTAATACATTCTTTATTTGAAAAAGGCAATGATTTCTGTATAAAACAGACATCATTTTATTACCTTTTTTATCAGAGATTTTAAGTTATAACAAAAATGAACTGAAGCTGTTCAGACTGCAACCGACTGACATGACCATGTATGCCACTAGAGTTGGGGGAAATATTTTGTACTTCAGCTGCTCTTTAATTAACTGCAGGTCAAGGAAGATTAACTTAAACCAAATGTAAATTCTTTGAAACTGCAGACAGCTTAAATGTTTCACTGTATGTTCAGTATCCTGTGGCAAGAAGCTTTTCCAACTTAGTGCAAGACCATCAAAGAAGGACACGGAAAATAGGAATGTACTACACATGTTGATTATATTGTGCACTAGCGTGATGTTATTCCCCTATCTTTTGATTGAGAGACTGCTTTATTTATTTCGATCTAATGATTGCTGTAATCAGTAAGGCCTTGTTAATTGCAGTACATGCTGATGGTGTACTCTGTCATTGGGATTCTGAACTGCCTGAGAGTGCTGTTTGTGGAGCAGCATCATAACAAGACAAAACCACACAAGGATTCTTTCTGCCTATGGAAAGTTATCATACTTTTTGTCATGTTACTCAGAACTGGAAAAGTGTAAACCGTCTACGCAGACAGACTGTATTGAAAAGGGCACATGTGTTTTATTTTATACATTTTATATAAAAAATCAATAGCCAAGGCAAATGTTTTAGCTTTATGGTAAATCGCTGAGAAACCTTTTCTGAAAAAAGAGAACCAGTGGTTTTGCTATTGATAATTCAGCCTGGAACTGTCATGGACTGTGGAAGGGAATTGTTTATACTCAGAGCTCTAGCATAGATTCATTTTAGAAAGACATAGGGATCTTACATCAAAGAAAGCAGATCTTTTTATGTTTTATTAAGATGTTTCTGTTAAATAGGACATTAGCATTCTTACACATTATTGCTAGTTCCAAAGGAAGGCAGCAGGCTCTGTCCTAAGACACCATCTTCACAGAATAGAATAGTGAAGTTTATAGATACTTCTTTCCTTCACTTTCATGGCTTTTTTTTTTCCTTTTCTCCATCTGTCTTGCACAGGGTTTTCATGCAGCTGATCCGTTTAGCCATCCTGTAGAAAACAGTGGACCATTCCTAAAAGTTCTTAGCCAAGCAAGCCTATTCCCTAGTGAACTAATTAAAGCATCAGCCAGGTAGGAACTGCAGGTCTGCAGAGTGTGACACTTATTTTAGCTTCAGTACACGTAGGTGCAGTGAAATTTAATACCACAGCTGGCATATTCTTTAGCAATTCACAAAGAAACTGATTTTTTTTACCGAATGATGGACTTAACTCTCAGACAAGAATCCTTGGAAATGTTGACTCTAAGTTAAATTACAGCATTGTAGCTTGGGCAGGAGAGAATAATTATGTGTTTGCCTCCAGCATCATTTTTATGTTAACTGTAGAAAGTATTTCAAGCTGTGTAGTGAAACACTTAGGTGCTTACTTAAACTAAAGACATAAGTGCTAGGCCAGATTTTGAGTTAGTAGAGTCACCAGGAACACACAAGGAAATGTCTTGTTTATCTTACAATATAATATGATTTTGTAGTTCAAAAAATTATGTAGTATAGTTCTTATACTGCAGCATAGTGAGTAATCAAGCCAGCTTTTGCATTCCTATTAATTAAGCATTAATTTAGCATTTTCACTCCTACTAATGCATGAAAATGCTTTTAAATTAATTTGGGGCAGTCTTCATGATTTGAGCTGTGAAAAGATGCCACAAAAGTCAAAAGATGACTTTCGGGAAAGGATGAAACATATCCTTTCTTTCAGTATTTGTTGCTGTACACCATGAAGAAATACATTTGGAAATAATCTTTACAGTAATAAGCATTCTATGAATCTGCAGTGGTCTGTATTTTTGCTATTGTTAGGAAAGGTTGAATCAAGTGCTTACCCACTTTCACTGTTTACACAGTGTAAATGAGGGCTGAGTCTGGTGTTCATTAGTAGCTGTCCATCAAACCTATTTCCTTTGTACACTCTTTGCATAATCACAGCCTGATGATTGACAACAGGGGCATGTTTATAGCCAGATTTCCTACTCTGTGGCCTCTGTTTCCTCCCTGGTTAAGCCTGAGGCAGGTTTGCTGAGAGTTGTTTTTCCCCCTCAGTTAAATCTTCAGCGTATCCAAAAAAAACCCACTGAACTTGGTTACTAAAACTAGAATTCAGGTAGACCAGGTATTTGAAGACTAGAATTGTCATCCCAGAACTCTGATTTGTTAAATTGAGCAACCACTGTCCCTTTGACATGCAGAGGTGCCGAGCCATTCCTGTCCACCCATTCAGAACTGCTCACCTCCGAGCAGTTACGCGCCTACCTAGCTACCGCCTCCACTCCTTTGAAACTAGATGATGCGATACACAGAAGCCACTGAGGTAATATGGAACAGACTAAAGGGCTGGGCCACCCTCAAGTTGTGTTTGCATATGTTTTGCTTTTAAAACAGAGCTCTTTTATCTAGTAGCCTGAAGGCTACTGTATTTGCATGGGAACATGGAGATATGTGTTTGCTTTCTTAGCCTGCAAGGATTCAATCCGTATCTTCCACCACATGATTGGCAATGGATTGAAGGACCTCTTGGAGCTAATGCCTGATCTCTAAATATTGATGCATTTTGTATTATACATTAATTGGCTAAAAATCTCAGAAATTGTCCAGGCAGGTGAATTCAAACCCTCATCATCACTGAGTAATTTGAAACTAACTGGTCCTCTTTGCTGTCTTTCTTCTCCATAAATCTCACAGTCCCCTTCTCCCACTTTTAATAAGACATGCAGGAGATGATTTTTCTGCTTCCTCCTCCCTAGAGTACTCCTGTTTTCAAGACCATCTGCTAGAGGATATAGGTTTAGATTCCCTTAAGCTGAGTAAGGACTGAATTTAGGCCTCCCACCTAATGTGTGTGTGTTCTCAAATCTAGATGACTGTTTAGAAGAATATTGGCACCACCTCCTAGGGCTCTTTTTCAGGGATGAACCTAATGCAGATTCTCCAAAAGCATACAGAGGTTCCTGCACACCAAGTTCTGGGTAGATTCCAGGCTCCAGCTCCTGGATGGGTAATTCAGGACAGTTGGTACGTGTTGGTGCAATTGGGCAATCTTGCTTCTGTGGGAAGCTTTTCCAGACAGGTTCTGTATTTTGGGTTGCCAGTCTGAGGTGAGGGACTCCATGCATTGTACTGGGAGGCCAAGGAGGTAGTTCGGATTCTTCTCAGGGGTGACGCCTTGTTAAAGAGGCATTGCAGTGCCTAACTTGGAAATGCCCAAAGCCTTCATTGTATCTAAAACTAAATCCCTGCTTCAGAAAAGAAACAATCCTTCTTAGCGAATGCTAATAACAGATGGAATTGTAATGTTTCCATCTATTAACTGGTTCTGTAAAAAGAAAATTGCAGCAAAGGCATGTGTACAAATTCTGTTTACACTTGGAAATTCAGTCAAAGGAAAAACTGGCAAAAGAATAACCCTATTTGATTAAAACAGGCACTGTTAAGCAACGTGGAAAGGATGTTAATCATACCCTGTTAATGAATAAAATTATGCAGTAACTGGTGTAAATTCTCTCCACAAAATAATTTCTTTGTAAATAAGTACCTGGTAAAATTTAAAGTGATAAAAGAATAAATTATTCACATGAAAGCCGTAACTCTCCTGTGCTGTTTGATTGGCTCTCAGAGTGTTGTATCCTGATGATTGTTATTTGTGAGTAGCCTATTGCTTTTCCTGCTTTACGGAATCCATTCCATTGACTGCTCCATAGATCTGTTACCCTTCACTATCACAAAGCTTAACAGTGGTACTGGGGTGATTTCCTTTGTGTCTGGACTGACATGTAGTGCTTTCTGCTTGAATGAACCCAGAAGATTTAGACAGACTTGTATCTTTGATTTTGTTTTGGGGTGGTTGGTTTGTTTTTTTCTTTTTTTCCCAGTGGCATTGCTTCTGGGAAACTTAAGAAAGCACAAGAAAGGGAAATGGTGGTATTTTTTTTTTTTTTTTTTTTTTCTCAGCCGTTATTCTGCACACCAGATTTGCACTGGATTTAACAGAACATCTCTGTGTAGCTATTACCAGCATGAGTCCGAGTACTATTATAACAAAGTATGTTTTTATTTAAGTGTATTTACTATCTCAGCACCTACTCTGAGATGATTTAATGTAGCTTTGTAATAGTTCCACACATTTAGTAGATTACTGGAACTATTCTGACTTTACTGCTGCTGAAAGCAGAGATTGACACAGAGCTCAGTAAAATTGTGTACTCAGTATATATGTAATCACATACTTTTCATTTGTTTTGTCCTACTGAATGCTGAGAGCTGCTGGAATGAACCCATCAGTATTAGGAATCAGCAGGCTGTTTTGGAGACTCTAACTTTTAATTACTCAACGGAAAGAAATGGGAGTGTGGGGCAGAGGACTAGGAGGGAAGAGAAGAATTAGGAGTCAAAAATACCTACTATATATCCAGTTGAATCAAAGAAACAGCAGGGAATGGAAACCAGAGTTCGTACTCGAGACAGTGATGAATACAGAGCCATTTTTTTTTTCAAATATTTCTTAAACAGCTCAGTTTTTACTAGTTATGTTGTTAGTCTTACCATTTTGCACCTGCAATACATTTCAAACAACCACAGTGTTTAATAAGCTACTTTTTTTCAGGGGTCTTGTGCTTTGCTTTTAAGTCTTAGTGGATGAACCTTGGACAAATTTGTAAAATCATGAAATAACAATGTCGATGCTGCCACTTACAATAGATTAACTAATGCAAATGCTTTAGACACTGTTCACAGTTCAGGTGAATTGTGTGTGTAATTGATGTACTAACAGTTTCATTTCTGAAGTATATAGGTAAAGCTTTTTATGTACTTCAAGTTATGCTGTAATGAAATAAATACATACAAAAAGCTAATGCTCCCCCTTAGGGATTTCTGGGTAATTGGTGGTTTTTCTTTTTGTCATCCATCCAATCAGTAAACAGTATTATATTTATTCTTACAAAGCAAAGACAAAATGATATGGATTAGCATAAATTCCAGTTCAGTTACATTTTGTTTCATTTTTATTTTTTTTGTCAGTATGTTAAAGTACATTATTTAATTTATAAAAATTACATGTAGGTTTTCCCAGAATACCCTCCTGTCTTAGCGTCACATGTCAGATCTTTGGCTGGAGTAGTTTACAGCCGTGTAAGAAAAGCAGAACCAAACACGCTTGAATTTTGTATTTTCTACTTACTTTCTCATGAGATAGTTTGCTTTAAATTGTCATATAACCTGTTTGAAAACTCCAAGACTGTGAGACTAGGTGGGGTTGCACTTGGTGCAATTTCCATTATTTCCTTAGCTGCCCCAACATGCAAGCTCTAACTATTGGAGCTTCCTCACATTTTCTTCAGAACGGCCAAATTCTGCTGCTGGTTAAAGCAGGGTAGATCTGGAGAAACTCAAGCAAATTCTTAGATTGCCAGAAAACTTGTTCCATTCAGCCCCAGAGTTTTGAGTCTGTTGTAATTTACTAGGGACCTTTACTGGAAAAAAGAAAATCTCATAGAATAAGACTCAGGCAATCACTATACTGATTTTTTTTTTTTTTTAACTTCACTAGAACATAAATTCCTTAACTACCGTTTTTCTCTGTGCTGTGAACTACAACATTGGGAAGCTTCATGCCAATGAAAGTGTATCTCAAGTATGTACTCCTGCTTGGTTAATTGAACATTTTGCACCTACCTCTCTCAGGATGCTTAGGCCCCAGGCTTAAGTTTCAGGTGTATCCAGTCTGGTAAATGATGTGGCTGGGTCCAATTACTTGTGCCATGTCACAAGATTAATTTTTCGATTCTGGAACACTGAAACCACCAGTTGTAGCACAAAGGATTTGGATTTCTAAGTCCTCTTGATTTGGGTATGGAGGATCCCCTGTTACCTGTTTCCAGGTAGAATGCATGCTTTTAGCATCACTTGTGTCCATGTATTGGACTTCAGAAATCACAAAAAGATTTTGTATGAGAACATCCAGAGGCAGATGGTGTTGACTTGTATTCCCCTGAAGGCGGAGCAGTCTTGCTGGAAAGACCAATCTGCTTCAGTTCCTAGACTGTGCAAGCTGGGAAGTCACGTGTGCCTGGGAGCTCCCATGTCATACCAAGTAATTATCAAGTGTACAGTCTCATCAAACGTGAATTTACAGCCTATGGACAGATATACCCACTGTGGGCGGGGAAAAAGGCAACTCAAATTAGTAACTATCAATACTGGGACCATGCCTGGAAACAAACCCAATCCTGTTTCAGGTTGTGTTCTTCAGGCACCTGTAAACAGAAGAGAAAGAATTCATAGTCTAAACAAAACTATGTGGCTAAAAGTAGGTTGGGGGAGCAACAGGCATTTGTTACTCAGATACCTGCAGGCTTCTTTTTGAAGCAAGTGTGAAGAGCATCTGCATCTCATAAATACCACCAGAAGCAACTAGTAGTGAGCAGGCTCAAGTGCTGAGGGCAGGGAGCACAGCCTGACCCAACAGTGACACCTGCACTGTGGCAGGTTGCTCCGGCCGTAAGCAGTGACAGACAGGAGCTGAATGGCTGTCCTCCGATGACAGCTGTCCTGACATGACGTCCTTCAGAAGGAGAGAGGAAACAATATGCCTGGCAGTCTTACACCATGTCCTTCATGGCCAAGCTCTCAGCGTGCTGGCCATGATGCATTCCCTAGGGAGCAGCTTACACATGGAGAGTTTTGAAGGTGATGCCTTTTTCTCCTTCCCTTTTTATTTTATTTTTTTCCCCTGTTTTTTTCCTTTATTTTTCTCCTTTCTGGTTATTTCCTCATGTCATCCTCTTTCCTCTCTTTTTTTTTTTTTTTTTTTTTTCACCTTTTCCCTTCTATTTTCCTTCTTTTTCTCTCTTTTGCTTTTTGTTCTTTGCAAGTTGCATGCATTTCTCTCTCTGCTTGAACATTCCCATAGGTCATACAGGGGGCCTGTGAATTTGGAAAAATTACCCATTGGAAACCAGTGAAACTCCTTTTCCTTTCCTCAGGAGGCAGACTTTTCTTCTCTAGCCTTCTAATTTTTTCCCTTAATAAAGCCCTAAATTTCTAGATGAAGTGGGGAAGACTTAATCCATCTGCTTCTTGGCAGCATGGTACAATAAACCACGAGCTGTTTGCATCCTGAAGGAATAAATAAAGTTGTGAGCAATTAAATTAGTCATGATGCAGACCTAAGGCGAGAGTTGTGTACCTTTGTTTAAGCTTACCCATGCTTTTAGTCAGGGTACGGCTGTGGCCACAGGAAAAAGTAAATGCAGGATTGAAGTATTGACCGGGTAGGAGGTCTCTGAGGAATGAAGCAAGAGCACAGACTGCTGAAGAATTAAGTTAATTCCCACACCATCTAGAAACCATTATCTCAGTGGTCAGGGTCTAATTTACTGACAGCTTGTTAATGCATTACATATGAATGGTTTCCCCGCCAGCCTTTACTGCTTTGCAGTTCTTTGCACATGTGAAAAATCATTGCAGAGTTGGTGAGTGGAAAATTTGTAGCAATTTTTAACCATTCTGCATAAGTAAATAAATCTGCCATCTGCAATGATGGATTATATGTCTCTCCCATATTTTTCTAATTAAAGAAGATGCTGAATCTTGATTAGAATCAGAGAAATAAAAGCTGAGATTAATAACTTTAGGGAATGCAAATAAGACAATTTTTGCCATCATTGCCAGACTCTTTTTAGATCATAATGAAGTTCTAGACAGGCAGAGAGTCTTCTTAAAAAGATGACTTTTAACCATTAGGAAAACTCAAAATTCTGCAAGTCCCTGAGAGATCTCGTGGCCTGGGAGCAGTGCTGTGGGGTAACTTCCATGGGCTAATTAAGAGAAGCTGAACCTCTTTCCTTTGCCTTCCTACTCTGGTTCTGTGCTCTTAAGTATCTTTGAGAGCAATACCGATTTTGACTGTGTGATTTGTTAACACACCTAGGAGGTGCAGTATTCTATCACCCTATCATAAAGCAAAATGAAGTGTCAAAATATTAATAGAAAAAACATTGAAATAAACCCCTTAATTCATCAGCAACTTCCTTCATATCTCCTTGTTAAGCACTACTTCAATTAATAAAGTGTTATTTAAGCATAGATTCTGTCTATGTCCCACTCGTTTGCCTTTGACAGTATTGAAGTATAAAGGTATGATGATAGTGCATATGGTCTTTGTAATATTTTTTTGAAAAGCTGAGCCATACAAGTGTAGGCTGTCTCTTCCTCAGCTGACTGATGCACTAATGGCAAGGAGCACAGCCTGCTGTTTAGCTCAACATACTTGCTGCCATTGCTACTTTAGACTTTTCAAGCAGTTTGTTGGTGTATAGGTGTATATCAGTAGATGTATCACTATATGCCTATAACATGCTTTTATCCCACTCTAGAAGGGGGCAAGGTGCCTTCAGCCAAGAAGAGGATGGAGCAGAGGCTGCTCACCTGATAATCCCTGTTGCAAGCAACAACTGGAAGGACGCGGGGAACAGAATTTGTTCTGGCTCCCGCTGCTTTTTTGACCAAACTAG